CGTGCCTGGAGTGGGGAGTGGGCCCCGTCAGGTCGCCCCTGGGGCGCGCGGGGCGGTCCTGAAGCGCGGCCCCGCCCCGCCCTGGCCTCGCAGCGCGCGGCGCCGGGCTGGCCCGCATCATGGGCGGCCTCTACGGGCGTGCAGCGCTTCGGGCGCTGTTGTGCGGGCCGCGCCCCCCGGGCCCGCGCCAGCTGGTGCGCCCCAGCTCGGGTGAGTCCGGCGGGTGGGAGGCGGGCGGGCGGCTCCGGTCTTTGTTCGCGCACGTGCAGCGGGCAGCCGGGAAGCGCGGGCCTGGCGCGGGCTTGGCCCTGCGCCCTCCTTGCATTCCCGCCCTGCGGGGCCCAGCAGCCGCAAAGCCTCAGGCTACTTGGCTCGGGGGGTGCCGAAGGTCCAGAGCAGAAGAAACCCAAAGGCCAGATGGCAACCCCGAGCGTGATGGCGGTCCCAGTGGACCGATGGCTTGTAGGGGACTCCCTGTGGAGCCTTTGTTGCCGGGGCCGTCAGCTCCTGGACAAACTGGGCCAGAGTCGGGACACCAGGCCCAAGGCTGCCTGGCCCAGCCCTGCGTGGGACCCCTGCCCTGACGGCCTCCCCTCAGTGCGCTTCCTGAGAGCCAAATATCATTTTTCTTCCATGCGCTCTGGAAAGCGGACGGCCTCCCCCAGGCACAAACCAGCCAGCACCATCGCTGGTTTGGGAAACAAATAAGCTAGTGGAGGGAGGTCTTGCCGGGTTCCTTCAGCCCCGAGGGGTGTGCTGATCCCCCTCCATTTGCTGCCCTGAGCACAGCACGTCGTGGTTAATTTTCCTCCTGAGGATGGAGCTCTACACCTGGCCTGCGGCTTGGTATTTTTCCTTCATTCTGCCCATCTTCTTTTGTGCGGCATCCAAGGTCTGGGATGCTCCTTGCTCTGGGAGTGCTTTGGGGCTGCAGGACTATGAGGGTGCCCCCCCATCCCTGGCAGTGCCCTCTGGAGAGAGGCTCAGGACTGGTCTGAGTCAAGCCTGATGTCCTACAGCTGCTGAGTTCCTGCCTGGCGCCAGTCTCCTCAATTATGGATAGGAATAGGAACCCCTCCATCTTTCCTCTCAGTCTTAAGCCCCCTTGTGTCCCCACTGCCTGGCCCATCTGCACTTCCCCTCTTCTGGGTGCCTACACCAGAGGTGGCTCCGGACTCCTCACAATGTGACAGGGCTGGGGTTCAGACAGCACCTGCCATTTCCTTAAGGACAAGTGGTGTGCACTTTCCAGTGTAGCTTCTCCAGGTCCCCAGGTGGGCTTCAGGCTAAGCCAGGCTGGGCCTCCCTGGTTTCGGGACTAATTAAGATGCCTTTTTTCTTTTTTGGTACCAAAGATTGAATTTAGGGGCACTCAACCACTGAGGCACAGTCCCAGCCCCTTTTTTGTATGTTATTTAGAGAAAGGATCTGAGTTTCTGAGGGCTCTGCTAAATTGTGGAGGCTGCAATTGAACTTGCAACCCTCCTGCCTCAGCCTCCCAAGCTGCTAGGATTACAGGCATGTGCCACCATGTCTGGCTTTAAAATGCCTTTCAAAAGAAGCTAGCTCCATTCTCCATTTGGGCAGATTTTATTTATTTTTATTTATTTATTTTTGGTATCAGGGATTGAACTCAGGGACCCTTCAACCACTGAGCTACATCCTCAGCCCCCCCCTTTTTTTTTTGAGAGAGAGAATTTTAATATTTATTCTTTTTTAGTTTTCGGCAGACACAACATCTTTGCTTGTATGTAGTGCTGAGGATCCAACCTGGCCCACATGCATGCCAGGCGAGCTCGCCATCGCTTATGACACATCCCCAGCCCCCATCCTCAGCCGTTTTTAAATTTTTTTTGAGACAGGATCTTACTAAGTTGCTGGGGCTGGCTTTGAACTCACAATCCTCCTGCCTCAGCCTCCTGAGCTGCTATGATTACAGGTGTACACCACTGCACCAGTCTTGGGCAGTTTTGCCACTGTGTGGGAGAAACCTGCGGGGACAGGCTGCCTTGGGTACCCCTCGGAGGCAGTGCTAGGAGGTAGTTCCTGTTTGGGAGTGCTGTGCTTGTTCCTTCTAGAGCTGCCCTGCATGAAGGCACTCTGAAGCCTAGTGCTGTCTGGGCCCAGGTAGGAACTCAGGTTGGGGAGATGTGAAAGGGTGAGGTAATGGCAGCCCTAAACTTCCCCACTTTTAAAGGAGGGCCCTCCTGGACCCAGGAGCGCACCCTGGTTGCAGTGAAGCCAGATGGGGTACAGCGGCGGCTCATCGGAGCTGTGATCCAGCGCTTTGAGAGGCGGGGCTTCAAGCTGGTTGGCATGAAGATGCTGCAGGTATCAGAGCCCTTGTAGTGTTTGAGGTACTGGGGGTGCTTCTTGGCCACTCACAGCTCAATCCAGTGTCATGGGGGTTTTCTGGCTTGGTATTTGCAGGTGTGGGGAGGTATCTGTCTGGGATGCCAGCCTATGTAGGTATTAACTGCAATGTGCCCTGAGGTCAGGACACCAGTTTTTTGGGGGGCAGGCTCATCTTTAGGGACTCCTCTTACCCCTCTCCCATGTTACCTAGGCACCTGAGAGCATCCTTGCTGAGCACTACCAGGACCTACAGAGGAAGCCCTTTTACCCAGCCCTCATCAGCTACATGAGCTCTGGGCCCGTGGTGGCAATGGTATGACCGGACCAGGGTGGAGGATGTGCAATGTGGGTGTGTCCTCCACTAAGCACAGGGAAAGGATTGAGCCCTGGGCTCTTGGTGCTCCTCACTTCTCCCCAACTTGTAGCTCTGTACTGCAGGTCTGGGAAGGGTACAATGTGGTCCGCGCCTCAAGGGCCATGATAGGACACAGTGACTCCACTGAGGCTGCCCCTGGGACCATCCGGGGGGACTTCAGCATCCACATCAGCAGGTACTGGGAGCCTGATACCTGGGTTGCCTGCTGTGGGGTGAGGAGGGCCATTCCAGCAACAGCATGCAAATCCCAAGGCTTGGGTTTCTTGCTGGGTGGCGGGTGAAGCTGTGGGAGACCAATCTTGCACGTAACTGGGTCACACTCTCCGGCTGGGTGCTGAGGCACTCAGTCACAGAAATGTGACAGAGCTTTCCCCACCCTTGGTGGGGGGTGAAGCCAAAGAGGCTTTACAGTGGGACATCATGAATAATACTGACTAGAACAACTTCTTTCCCTGCCCTTCCATGCACTTATTGATGATGACACATTCTCATTGTTTGTTGTTTTGACTGTACTCTGTGTTGTGTGTCATTTGTCCTGCCAGATACCCTGAAGGGCTGGTGTGGGACACTGGTGGGGAAAGGAGGTTCCCAAAAGTCAGAGTTTGGGCTGGCCCCAGAGTCTGGGATGGCAGTTTTCTGGTTCCTATTTTTCCTTTTCCTTCTGCAGTCACCTGCTTGCTCCCGTGGGTGCAGGGGAGCAGCAGATTGACCCTAGGGCCCTCGGGTGCACACTGGAGACTAAGCTACTTGTCACCTGGCACAGGAACATCATCCACGCCAGTGACTCAGTGGAAGGGGCCCAGAGAGAGATCCAGCTGTGGTTCCAGAGCAGCGAGCTGGTGAACTGGGCAGATGGGGGCCACTATAGCAGCAGCTACCCAGCTTGAGGGCTTGTGTTGTCCTCAGTGCCCCAGCAACCACCCAGGACCAACTGCTTTCGTCAACAACTCTAGCCACACCCATCCTGTCTCCCCCAAACCACTTTCTTGCTCACTTTCTGCCCCACCCAAGCCCAAGGGAGTTTGAGGCCCAACTCTATGTGCCTTTATGTATCCTAAATCATAACAAGATTGGACCAAATCCTTCTGTACCAAAGTGCCAGACAACCTTTGGGCATCCTCAGAGGTCACCTTAACTGCTCCAAAGGAGACACATTAAAATCCACTGCTTATAATGGGGGTGGTGTGCTCATTTTGTCTTCTGCCATTTCTGAGACAGTAAAGATGCTTTTATGAAGTAGTAATAAAATTGAAGCTTCCTGCCTTGCACACACAGAAGGGGCTCCCTGACTTTGATGACTGTATGAATCAGGCAGGAGTCCAGAGCTCTCCAGCCTGAAATCTGGGGAAATTCTAGCGGAACTCTGCCTAGCCAGTCTGATTCTGCTGAAGGAGAGTGGCAGGGAGAGGTAGGGACTAGGACCACACAAGGCACAATGAGCCTGTGACCATGGTGCCTCCCACTTAGTGGCCTGATTTCATTCAACACCGAGAGCTACCCAGCAGTAATATATATATATATTTTTTTCTGGCACTGGCAATTGCATCTAAGGGCTTCATGCATGCTAAACAAGTGCTCAACTACTGAGTTACATTCCAGACTTTTAAAAAAATTCTAGAGACAGTCTCCCTAAATCTGCAGAGGTTGGCCTCGGACTTGCCATCCTTCTGCCTCTGCCTCCTGACCTGCTGGAATTAAAAGCCAGCGCCACCGGGCACACTTGGCGTCCGCACATCTTCACGTTGCCACAAGCTGCTCCCATCCATGGGTCCTGAGGTTGCTTCTCTATAGCCCAGGTTACAGGGAGGCCGACCTGGCTGTCACTTCCCCACTTGACACGGAGCGACGGAGGTCTAGGGTCTGGGTTCTCAGCATCAGCCTCTGAACAGCTACAGATGGCATGGGCGAAGTGCCGAGACACTTTCCACCCGGCACAGGGGCAGTCCTGCGTGCACGCCGCGGCCTTTTCGGCCCCAGTTTCCCGAGGTCATCCACCACGGGGAAAGCTGTCCCCGAAGCGGGTACGTCCGCACGCCGAGCGCCCCACGAACTGGCCTTAGTCCAGTAGTCTGAGGGTCAGTGGAGAGCGGTCGCCTACCATCACCGGTGGGAAGGACTAACAAAACGTGCTTCCACCCCTTACTGCGCCTGCGCCCGCTGCGCGCGGCCCCGCCCACTCCCAGTGGGCCCCGCGCCGGGTGAGGTGGGGTGGGAAGTCCGGGGAAGGAGCCTGTGGTGGGGCATCCTGGGACGGGAGGGGCGAGGAATCTGGGGGCCTCTGGGGCGTGGCCGGCGGGTCTCCAAACCTGGTTGGTTGAGGGCGGAGGGCTGGTGGCCTCAAGTTCAGAGCCTAGAGGCTTCGGCTTTCCTGCCACCTGTCGTGCTACCTGTCCTGCCCCGAGCGCCATGGCTCAGCTGCCGCCCGACGTGGAAGAGGACGAATGTCTTCCTGAGTACCGCTACCTGTTCTGCCCGGACCTGCTCCAGTGAGCGCCAAGCTGGGCTGCCCTGGCCGCGCGGGACATGCGGATGGGTTGCAGACTGTGGGAGCGGGTTGCGGCCGGTTAGATAGTGCGCAGATGCTCGCATCCGGATCTCCCGCGAGCTTAGTGGAGAAGTCCGTTTTGACTGGCAGGCGGGGGTGGGGGTTGTCTGTTTTGAAAACGTATCGTTGATAACATTCTCAGAGAATTTTGGTTAAAATTGTCCTTTTTGCTGCTGGGGATGAACCCAGGGCCTTGTGCTCCCTAGGTAAGCGTTCTACCACTAAGCTACACCCCAGTTCTAAAATCATTTTTTACCCCCAAAAGATCCAGAAAGCCTAAAAGATTGCATTTTATTTTCGTACAAAGTCCACCAGGATGGAAGGGCCTGTTCAGGGGACCAAAGTCCTCCACAGGTCACCAGCCCTCCCTGACAGTATTTACTTATGTGGTACTGGGGATTGAACCCAGGGCGCTTTACCACATCCCCAGCATTTTTTGAGACAGGGTCTCATCAAGATGCTTAGCGGGCTGGGGATATGGCTCAAGCAGTAACTGCGCTCACTTGGCATGCGCGGTCGCTGGGTTCGATGCTCAGCACTACATAAAAATAAAATAAAGATGCCGTGTCCACTGAAAACTAAAAAATAAATATTCTCTAAAAAAAAAAATGCTTAGGGCCTCACTAAATTGGTGAAGCTTTGAATTTGTGATCCACGTGCCTCAGCCTCCCAAGTCACTGGGATTATGGGCATGTGCCACCTTGTGCCTTATTTATTTTTGTGGCACTGAAGACTGAACCCAGGGGAGCTCTACCTATGAGATACGCTCCCAGCCTTTTTTTTTTTTTTTTTTTTTTGAGATAGGGTCTTGCTAAGTTGCTGAGGTTCACTTTGAACTCATGATTCTTCTGCCTCAGACTCTGGGGTAGCTGGGACAACAGGTGTGTATTGCCATGCTCAACAAAAGTGACTTTTTTTCTTTTTTTTTGTGATGCTGGGGATTGAACCCAGGGCTTTGTGCATGTGAGGCAAAGCACTCTACCAACTGAGCTATATCCACGTCCAACAGTGACCTTAACAGTGACCTTTTAAAAGGTCACTTCTTTTCTTGTTTCAGGGACAAAGTGGCCTTTATCACAGGAGGTGGCTCTGGAATTGGGTTCCGGATTGCTGAGATATTCATGCGGTGAGCACTATTCTGGGTCCCTCCCCTGTTCTTTATTGCCCCTTGCCTGGACCTGGCTGGATCTTGGGGATGAGCCAAGTGCTTCCAGAAGTGGCAAGACTTGGGGGTCTCCTATAGATCAAGAGATTGTGTGGCTGTGGCTTCAGAGCCTCCTGAGGCTTTTAAGAGCTGAAGATCAGGGTGGGCTGCCTCAGACCCCTTTGCTATGAACAGAGTGTGGAGGTGAATTCCACTGGAAAGAGACTCTGGGATATACCCACTCCAGGAGGACTCATCTTCAGGGCTGATGGCCTCATGCAGAACATGGCCACCCATGCCTAGAGTTCCTGTGAGGGTTAGTTGGGATACCATGTCTCCCATGGAACTTGTCTACAGGTGCTGGTGGTGGAAGTGTCAGGGAGTGGGCCAGGGGAGCACCCTGCCTGAGAATAGACTCTGTCCTTCCCCTTAGCCTCCAGGAAGGAGGGTGGAGCATACAGGGCTGTGCAGGGGACCTGGAAGGTCTGGGCCTGATGTCAGTGGCTCACCTCTGCTGTTCCACCATGTCCCACATACCCATGTGGCTGATATATCCCAGAGACCTGGCCCATGTAGGAGGGGCAACCATGTACCTACCTGAGGTCCCTCCAGAGCTGCTCAGTCTTGCTCAGGCCCCGTACCTTCTGCCAGTTGAACTTCTGCCCCCAGCTATACTCTACCTGAGACCCTGAGGGAACCCACTGGTACAACTGCTGTCCTCAGGCTTGCCATCTGGTTTTGCAGGCATGGCTGCCACACGGTCATCGCCAGCAGGAGTCTGCTGAGAGTTTCCATGGTGAGAGAGCCTCTCCTGTGGCCTGTCCACAGGTGGCTCTGGGGCCCTGAGCCTGGGCTGGGAATGTCCTGAGGCCCAGGGGATGCTAACACAAAATCTTGCTCCCCTCTCAAATATGGAGCCTCAGTGGAAGTGGATTCCCAGAGACACCTTTGACTTAAAATTCTGATTATTTGTCCTGTGGGGATCTTTTTTTTAGAGGATAATTTGGCCCCAGGAGAGTTCTCTGGGCTCTTCAGGGCAATGAAGGTCATCATCCCACTGACTAGGTCCTCAACCTGGGGGGGAAACTCTGAATTCAAGTGGGGACTGGAAATCATCTGGGCTTCCATTGATCTGTGATGATGGCCTGGAGGGTGACCCAGAGGGACAGGGTGGGAACAGGTTAAAGGCAGTGGAGAGTGTGGGATGTCTTACCCATTTTTTACCAGTGCCAAGAAGATGGCCAGTTTCAGGTGGTGTCTTCAAGAGTGGGAGCAGCAGGGTCTTAGTGGAACTGAGATTAATCATCTACATCAGATTCTGAAGGTTCTTCTTCAGGCCAGGGCTATGGCCTACCTTTCTTCCTGGCCACCCACCTCTTTTCCTGGCTCTAGGCTGCCAAGAAGTTGATTGCTGCTACTGGCCGGCAGTGTCTCCCTTTATCTATGGATGTCCGAGCTCCCCCAGCCATCATGGCCGCTGTGGACCAGGCACTGAAGGAGTTTGGCAAAATCGATATCCTTATTAATGGTGCGTTTTACAGTGCTTTGATGCTGAGGGAGGCTAGAGGCTTCTGATGGTTATAATATGGTAATTGAGAGGACCCAGAGCTCTGGTGGAGGGTCAGGGATGGTACCAGAGAGCCCCAACACCTGCACCAGGTTCAGCTCTAATCCACACACCTGCAAGACCCAAGCTCCAGGCCTCTGGCTCTGTTCTTTCCAAGTGGTAGGTTAGCTCAGTCTCAGCTCAAGAGGACACCCTATGAACATGACTGAATCACAAGTCAGGGGTTCCCTTTGTCCTGAAATTCCTACTTAAAAAAAAGTAACAGGGCTTGGGGAGCAGCTCAATAGTAGAGTGATGTCTGCAAGACCCAGGGTTCAATGCCAGCAACACATACATAAAGTAGTAGACTCCATTGTTTAGTATAGTTTTAGATTTACAGAATAATTAATCATTTATTCATAGAAGTCCACATACCTACCCCACATAGTTGTCCTATTATTAACATCTTCCATTTGTTGCAATTGATGAACCAATATTGATTCTTTTTTTTTTTTCTTAATGACACTGGCTTGAACCCAGGGGTCCTCTACTACTAAGCTATATCACCAGTCCTTTTTTTTTTTTTTTTGTCTTTGTCTTTTTGGTACTAGGGATTTAACTCAGTGGGGTTTAACCACTGAGCCAGCTCCACAGCCCTCTTTTATTTTTAGACAGGGTCTCACTAAATTGCTTAGGGCTTTGCTAAGTTGCTGAGGCTGGCTTTGAACTTGAGATCTTCCTGTCTCAGCCTCCTGAGTTGCTGGGATTATAGATATGCACCATCACGCCTGGCTCCAGCCCTTTTTAATTTGTAAAAGACTGTCACTAAGTTGCTGAGATTGTGATCCTCCTGCCTCAACCTCCTGAATTGCTGGATTATAGGTGTGGCCACATACCCAACTGATATATATTATTTACAGTCTGTAGTTTACATTAAGGTTCACTCTGCTGAAATTCCTTTTAAAAACATCTCCTATATTGGTTTCTAGAGTACCACAAAATGGATGGCTTAAACAAGAGAAATGCTCTCATGGTTCTGGAAGCCAGAAAATGCAAAGTCAAGGTGATAGCAGGGCCATGCTCCAGAAAAAAATCTGCTCTGGGGCTTTATCTTAGTGCAGAGTGTGGGGCAAGCCTTTGTTCCTGGAGTGGGGCTACAATGGCTCTAATCTCTGCCTCCATCGTTACACAGCCTCCCCTCTGCACGTCTTTGTATCCTCTCCTCTTATAAGGACACCATCATGGGATTTAGGGCTCACCCCAATTCAGTATGACTTCAATTTGAGAGAATCTGAAATGACCCTGTATTTACCAGGCATAGTGGCACATACCTATAATCCCAGCAACCCAGGAGGCTAAAGCAGGAGGCTTACAAGTTGGAGATCAGTCTGGGCACTTTACTAAGACCTTGTCTCAAAATTAAAAAAATGGCTGGGGATGTAGCTCAATGGTTGAACACTCTGGGTTCAATCTCTAGTACAAAAGCAAAATAAAACAAACCCTAATTCAAATAAGGTCTCGTTTACAGATCCCAAACTCCTCAGAGGATAACATACTGTCCTGTCTTACTCTTGCCTTTCAGGAACTTATCCAAGTACTTAGTCTCCTACCCTGTCCAGCATTGCTCACCACCTATTGGGTGTCGGACTCACTGTGCACCCTCCCTTTGGGTTTCTGCCCTCCTGGCCCCCCATCTTCCCCAGACTTCAGCATCATCATCTGTCTCCTCTGCAGGTGCAGCTGGAAACTTCTTGTGTCCCGCCAGTGCTCTGTCCTTCAATGCCTTCAAGACTGTGGTTGACATTGACACCATTGGCACCTTCAATGTGTCTCGTGTGCTCTATGAGAAGTTCTTCCGGGTGGGTGTCCTCTCGGCCAGGATCTCCTCTCTGCCTGCTGCTGACTTACCACCCCACCCTCCTGTGTTACAGGACCATGGAGGGGTGATCGTGAACATCACTGCTACCCTGAATCTCCGGGGGCAGGTGCTCCAGGTGCACGCAGGCTCTGCCAAGGCAGCTGTGGGTATGGGCAACCCTTCTGGTCTTTCAACTTGGGCTCCCAGGGGGTCCTCTCCTGACCATCCTGGAAGCCACATTCTCCAGGTGATCCTGAGCCCAGTGGTGTGTAGGAAAGGGCCTAGCCTTGACCCTAGGCCCACACTCACACCTAAACCACTCTAGGAGACAGAGCAGCAGCCCCTGCTTCCTTAGACCTTCCCTAAATCTTCAGCTTCCACACAGATGCAATGACACGGCACTTGGCTGTGGAGTGGGGTCCCCAGAACATTCGCATCAACAGCCTTGCCCCAGGCCCCATCAGTGGCACAGAGGGCTTACGGCGATTGGGTAAGTCTTCTGGGGAACATGACCTGCCATGGGGTCACTCAGGGTACTGGGCACCCACAAATACTGCTAGAACCCTGGGGGGTTGAAAAGCCATCCTGTTCTGCTCCACTAGGCCTGCTGAAATTAGCACCATTCATCGTTTTCAGATGTGGTTCAGAGGCAGAGCTGGCTAGGGAGGGTAGAGGACCCTGGTCTTAGGGCTCACTGCAGGCTCCCCTCTTCCTGCCCCTGCTTCCTGCCCTCTAGGTGGTTCCCCGGCCAGAGTAAGCACAAAGGCCCTTGTGAGCCCTCTGCAGAGGCTGGGAAACAAGACGGAGATTGCCCATAGTGTGCTCTACCTGGCCAGCCCTCTGGCTTCCTTTGTGACTGGGACCATGCTGGTTGTTGATGGTGGGGCCTGGCTGACATCCCCTAATGACACCAAGCAGCTGGCAGACTTCGAATCCTCCTCTGCTAAGCTCTAGGTGAGGTGTTGCTCCTGCTTCTGGGGTTTACCTGTGTCCTTGGATGTTCCTGACCATGCCCTGCAAGGTGGAGCTGTATAATTGCTCCTGCCCCAGCCTGAGTACATGTGGGTTGCTGCTGATGGGGTCTTCAGCTATGCAGGAGTGTACAGTGCCACTTGATCTTCCTCAGTGACCTCAGCCTCTGCTGGAGTTTCTGGAGGATATTGGAGGGATACAACTTTTGATACACAATATCGTATCCAGAAACAGGGAATACTTCTGGGAGCTGTCTCTTTTGCATTCCACAGCAAAGCCAAGAGCACTGGATCTGGTAGTACAGCCCTTTCTCAGGACTGAGCTGTACTTGCACTCTGCATCTCCTCAGACTATGTCCTGGGCAGGAGTGACTAGCCAGTGAGCCCAGCCTGCAACCTCTCACACAGGCATCTGAGCACAGTTCCTAGAATTTTTCCAGGAAATGCAGTATCTTTTTGCTATAAAAATATATACGTTGGCTTTGCAGAAAATTTTATAAGGAAAAAGAAGACCATTAAAAAGTACCACTCACTCTGTCTTTTGGAGGTAGGGTTGCACTTGCTTCTCATCTTTTTCTACCTCTCCTCAACTTGGACATTCCTACTGCCCTTTCTCCTCCTGGCCATTCTGCACATGGGAGGGCAAGCAGCAAGGCTTCCAGCCAAGGCTTCAGCCCTATGGCTGCCCTTGTGGGAGGAAGCTTCCTCCCCATAGCCTACTGGTCTCCCTCTTCCCTGGCTTCCCAATTCACCTCCACCTCAAACCCTAGACATGTTCAGCTTCAGTCCCAGGAAAGAGATGTCTGATGTAGTTTCACTGATTGGCAAACAGTATTGAGTTTACAGCTGTCCACTGGCTTTAGAAAGCCATGATTTCAACTTGGTGTTCCTAACCTGTAAAGTGGGAGTAGCTGTAGGTACCTGCATGAGGGAAGGCATGATGGGTGTATACACCTGCCTGCTAGTCAGCAGCAGCTCTGTGCTGCCACTCTAGCAGAGATCCTTATCCCCCATCCTCCAAGTCTTATCATGGTACACCTGATGTCTAGCCTCATTCATCCTCCCTGAAGGTCCTCTGTAAGGACTTGGCAAATGGGGGCTGCACCTGGAGCCTGTCTATGGCCTGCATCTGGGACTTGCGTCTACACTGGCTACTGGCTGTCTCTGGCAGTCAGGGTGCCTTTTTGATGCTGGCCCCTGTGTGAAGGCCAGAAGTGCTAGTGGACACTTCAGGACTCTCAGCCCTTCCTATCCTGGCCCGCCTAACAGTAGCTTCAGTGGGGACATTTCCTCCTAACTTCTCTCTGGCCAGGACATAAACTCCATGGTCCCTGGTTCACAGCAAAAGAAGGTGGGATGCTGGTGACTGTGCCTGCCCTCTCTAGGAGATGGGCTCCAGAAGGAGTGGGGTACAACAACCCTGGGTGAGGCCCTATCTGAGCCATGCTGCCCTGGAATGAGCCAGAAAGCTCAGTATGATCTGGGGAGGTGTCCTGCTTATCTACAAGTCATTCAGAGACAGGAGTGAGAAGCCTCAATCTGTCCTACGTGAAAACTGCTCTCCCAGCCTGGGACTGCCTGGTGGCCTGGAGGGGCAACTGTGGGGATGGTGCTCCAATCCCCATACAGGGACAAGACCCACTTGGCAGGGCAGTCAGCAAGGTCCCAGGGAGTTGCCTCATCTTGGAAAATTCTCTGCCCCACTGAAGTGTAATATATTAAGTGCTCTGGCCTCAGGCCATCACCCTGAGAGGAGGTGACCTTACTTGTCCTCAGCCATTGCAAGTACAGTGGGTGGCAGGCCTGCTGGAATGCTGCCTGTAGGCAGCTCAGCTTCTACACTGGGCTGCACCTGCTGGTTAAACATTTGGGACCAGAGTGTGGTGCTGTTGGAGAATAAAAAAAAAAAAAAAAAAAAAAATAGGGTTGGGGCTGTAGCTCAGTGGTAGAGCACTTGCCTAGCATGTGTGAGGCACTGGGTTTGATTCTCATTACTGCACATAAATACAATAAAGGTCCATTGAAAACTAAAAAATAAAAATACTTTTAAAGGATTATATATATGTATATGTACATGCATATATATATATAAAGAAAACAGTTAAATAGTTACTAGGGAAGCATGGAGAGTGAGAAGCAGAGGCATTCACCAGCCCTCTGGAATGCACAGAGCTTTCTGGCTGCAGCTAGGGGCCTGCTAGCTTTCCCCATGAAGCCTGACTTCAGGGGAGAGGCCCTAAGCCTGCTAGTTGTGGCCATCAGATTGTTGCCCTTGAAGGCAGTTAAGATGGGAACATTGCCCAGCAACTGGTCTGGTTAAAAAGAAGCCCCCTTCTGGGACCCATCCTCAAGATTCCCTCCAAGAGGACAGAAGAGCCAGGAAGTGGGCCTCAGGGCTGTATGTCTTTCTATAGTCATGTTGGAGACATGATGTTGAAGGCAGCCTGGCTATAGGAACTGGCCTAGATAAGCACCGAGCCACACCCTCAGGATTTTTATTCTTTATTATCTTTTTTTTGGTATCAGGGATGAACCCAGGGGTACTTAACCAGTGAGTTACATGCTCAGCTCTTTATTATTATTTTTTAAAAATATTTTTCAGTTGTGGATGGACACAATACATTTTTATTTTATTTAGTTTTTTTTTTATGTGGTGCTGGGTATTGAACCCAGTGCCTCATGTGTGCTTGGCAAATGCTATACCACTGCACCACAACCCCAGCCCAGCTCCTTTTATTTTTAAACAGGGCCTAACTAAGTTGCTGAGGTTGGCTTTGAACTTGTGATCATCCTGCCTCAGCCTCCTGAGTTGCTGGGATTACAGGCATGCATGGTTGCACCTGGTCTTATGGAGATATATACCAGGGATTGAACTCAGGGGCACTTGACTACTGAGACACATCCCCAGCCCTATTTTGTATTTTATTTAGAGATGGGGTCTCACTGAGTTGCCTAGCACCTTGCTTTTGCAGAGGCTAACTCTGAAGTCTCAATCCACCTGCCCCAGCCTCCCAAGCCACTGGTTATCTTTAGAGATAGAAATGATGCCAGGTTCTTTGAAAGGAAGGGTAACTTGTATTTTTTTGTTTGTTTGTTTTTTATGTGGTGCTGGGGGTCAGATCCAGGACTGGTGCATGTTGGGCAATGGCTCTACTACTGAGCTATCCACCCAACCCAAGAAGGATAATTTCATCTATATGAGCCTTGGGCAGTGAATTTTCTGTATCCTTGGCTGTGGAAGCAGACAGGCCCTGACAATGCTAAGCTTCCCCCTGCCATGGCTGAAGCTGTTTAATTCATCCTCTGTGACTGGGTGTGTGGCTCAGTGGTAACACTACCTCTTATGTATGAGGTTCTGGGCAAACAAAATTTCATCCTTTGAAAACTATACATAAAAACAACACCCAGAGCCAAGATGCAAAGCACCATATCCTCAACAATGGTTCAGGAAGAAGGTGAACGTGCTGAAAGGCTTTGTGTGCTGCATTTGTTGAAAGAACAAGCAAACAAATCCCAACTTCTTTACTCCACCCTGACATGAGGTGTGCAGATTATTTCCCAGATGTCACTGGGATCCAGGGGCCGCAGTGAGCATCTGGGTGTGCTCATGTTTCATAAAGCAGAGAGAACCTTAAACATGTTCAGAATAAATGGTGATGATTTGGGGAGTTCCACCAACGACTTCTGTTGCCATGGTAACCCTGAGCAAGCCAGCTCTGGCCTGCATGTGTTGCAAACCCTGGGACCAGGGCCTACTCCCCACACTTTCCTGTTGCTGGAAGGTTTTCCCAGATGCTAGGGTCTGCCTCTCTGCCCTTCTCCCTCCTCCCTTCCCAGCATGGACTCTGTGAAACCTGCCAAAGCTCTGTCACCCCATGGGGCCATGGTAAACAGCTGAGGATGATCTTCGCACATGGACATTAGTCCACTCACCAAGTGAGCACTGTGTGTGCTAAGTGCTGGGGGACCTAGAAGTATGTGAGCTGAGCTGGATACAGTGGCCTTGCCTGTGACTCCAATCTCTTGGGAGGCTGAGACAAGAGAGCCATAAATTCCAGGCTAGCCTCAGTAATCTACTAAAACCCTATTTTAAAATGTGACTCTCCTAGGAGGAGCTGATGTCCCCAGTGGTTTCCTATCTTCTCTCTGCCTGTGTCCATGTAGGCTCCTGGACTGAGGTGGGGACCATGAGATGATGGATCCCAGAGAACCTTGCCAGCTGCAACACTGGAGGCTAGCAAGTGTTTCTCTGACCTCCACATCATTTCATCCTTTATCCTATGAGACAAGACAATGCTGCCTGGCACCAGTCAAGCCCCTTCCCCAGGATGCATGTCCAAGCAGCCAGAAGCATCTTACTTGTGCTTGGCTCTGTGCTGAGGCCTGAGCCTACTGAAACTGGGGAGGAGTGGGGCAGGTGGGTTCTCCAGATTAGAACTTCCTGTGCTGGCCTCAGATCTGGGCTGGTGTGTAGGCCCCCGTTTTTCCCTTAGGACACATCAGGCATTTCTCTTGGAGGCATGTGGCAGACCTACTCTGGCCCTTTAGATCCAAGGGGGGAATGTCTGCGGGATTCTGGGTCCTTCACAGGCTCCCAGGTGGGGTGGGGCAGTGCACTGGAACTTTGAAAAGAAGCTGGGACACAGACCTTTGGAACCCAGAAATAAAACAACCTACCTTCCTTCCTTCTCCTCTTTCTGTGCTAGGATCAAACACAGGGCCTTGTGCAAGCTGAGCAGAGCTCACCACTAACCTTTATCCCTACCCCTTCCTTCCTTCCCTCACCCCCTGGGCATCGAGGCCCAGCTGCCACCTGCTCAGGTTGCTCCTTCTGCCAGTTGACATCCAAACTCTTGGGAAAGATGGTTTGCTCTGCTTGGATCATGTGTCAGTTCCCTCAATAAATTCATCTTGTGAATGTAAATATGGTGATTCCCCCTGAAGCCAAGGCTTGGAGAGTACTGCTTCTACAAAATTGGGTTCCCAAGGCCTGACTTGGTGGAGCACACCTGTAATCCCAGTGGCTGGGGAGGCTGAGGTAATTGGATTGTAGGTTCAAAGCCATCTTCCGCAAAAGCGAGGCACTAAGCAACTCAGTGAGATCCTGTATCTAAATAAAATATAAAATAGGGCTAGGGATGTGGTTCAGTAGTCGCGTGCCCCTGAGTTTAATCCCTGTACCAAAAAGAAAAAAGAAAATTGGGTTCCCAGATCCTCCACTTTGGGTCCTGTCCTCCACCAACCTAGGTCACTTATAGACTTATATCAGCCAAGCATGCTGATAAGCCTCTATGTGTGTCCCATGTGACTGCATGGGTCTTGGGCCCCTTGCCTGGTGCCAGGGGATATGGAAAACCTGGAGAGAGTAGTGGAAAGATGGCAGATGGCGCCAAAAAAGGAATGAGAAACAGGTATCAGAGATAAAAAATTAACGTTTAACTCCCTAGCATCTCATGAGATATGGACAATGAAGTGGACAGTGACTTGAACAGGCATTCCTTGCCCCAGGTCAAAAAGCTTTGAGCTGCCATGGAAAGGAAGCTCCAGGGCTAGAAGCCTCCCCACAGGCCGCACTGTGTGTGGGAGGCATGGTGGGTGCCATGTGGGCTCTGAAGAGCTCCGGGGTGGCTGGAGATGCTTTGTCATCACAGGAAGCTGGCGCCAGCAACTTCAACTGAGATGTTAAAATAAGAAAATCTGCAAAACCTTGGGCTGAGTCAGGAGGAGTTAAACTATACCTTACAAACTCATGCTCTATTTTTACTCTGAGAAAAATGTACTTTACCAATTTTGAAGGTGAGAAAAAAATTTCTTCCCACTGAATAAGATATCAGTAAACACATAGCAGAGGCCAGCAGGGAGTGTGACCTAGACCTAAAATTGACTTCTTGCTCACTTTGCTTGGTGAATACATGTTAAAAGGCACAATGTAGGCAGCCTCCTCATGAGGGACATGAAAGACTGCACACATGCAGAGAGTATTCTTGAATGATTTGTGTCAGCTATTTGGGCCCCTGAGACGTCACAGTCAAGGTTATGAGCATGCACATCACCTGTCCAGTCTTTGCCTGCTGGTCATGTCTTCCTTTCACTTCTGCCCTATCATCAGGTGACCTCTAATCTGTTCTCTGTCCCTATAGTTCTTTCTTTTCTTTTTTTTTACGTGGTGCTGAGGATCGAACCCAGTGCCTCAGATGTGCAAGGCAAGTGCTCTGCCACTAAGCTATAACCCCAGCTCTTTTTATTTATTTTTTCCTTACTTCCTTCCACCCCACAACCCTGGGGATTAAACCCAGGGGCACTCTACCACTGAGCTACATCCCCAGCTCTTTTCATTTTATTTATTATTTTCTTTTTTATTTATTTGTTCTTTTTAGTTATATATGACAGCAGAATGTATTCTGACATCATACATACATGGAGCAAAACTTCCCATTCTTGTGGTTGCCCATAATGTGGAGTTACACGGTCGTGTATTCATATTTGAACACAGGAAACTGAAGTCCTGTCTACTGGACATTCCCATCACCTCTTCCTTTCCCCTATTCCCCCAGTATTTTTAAAAATTTGAAACAGGATATAACTAAGTTGCCCAGGCTGACCTTGAATTTATAATCCTCCTACCTCAGCCTCCTAAATTACTGGGGTTACAGGTATGGCCATTGAACTGGGCGCTGAATTGCATTTTCTAGAATTTTACAGCATTGGAATTGCATAATGAGTACCCTTGTCTGCTGGCTCATTTTCTTAAATATTGATGTTTTGAGATTCATCCATGATGCTGTGTGAGTTCATGTTCCTTCCTTATTATTCCTGAACTGTATTCCATGGTATGGATGTTTGTTGATTCACTGTGAGAGAGAGAAAGTCTAGTGGTCCATTTTCAAAATACAGTATTTAGCTTTAAATGTAAAAGTACTG